GATAGGGGATTAGAAGCTTCCCCATGAATGAGAAAAGTCAATATAAAAAGGAGGAACTATATACTGAAAGAGAAAGAGTGGAACAGCATTGGGAAATCACAAAAGAGATGACAGCAGAACTAAAAAATACACAGAAACGGGTGACACAGAAAAGTAGAAGACAGTCTATAATGCTTACCTGCACACCCCCACCCAGGGAAGGGGAAGCTGAAGACATAAAGGTGAGGTGAGACAGGCAGCCCTAGTGACAGGCTGGTAATCCTAGCTCCAGAATAAGGCCATGCTTCCCACAAGTCTTAAACCCACAGAAGGATTTGGTGTGACAGTGACTGCTCCTGCATAGCAGGCTAGCTTTGGGGAAGAAAGACATTTTGTTGCCCCTCATATCTCAGAGAGCTATAGGGAAGCACCATTTTGAGAGGGGACCTATTGTTTAAGACTGAAATACTTTGAGGACTTAAATACAAGGAACAATCACAACTCATGTCAAAGTGTCTGGGTGGGAGATAGCCATAAGAGGTGGTCATAGAGAGGAAGACAGTCTAATATGAACCTTCTGAGAGGCAGGGATCTCAATCAGCAAAAGGCCTACTGGTCAGTGGCCCCATCCTCTCAGGCAAGAACTGAGTCCCACCACCTGAGTATCACTTGAAACGGAGCACCAAGCCTGTGAACCTGGAAGCTACTTCCTGGCTACATGTTTGGTGCCAGACTAGATTAAGAACTCAAGAAAGGGCCTGCAAATCATGTGATTTCCCTAGCCCCCTTCTCACACAGGATGGTGAACTGCCGAGCAATGTTTGAAAGCACTGAGACTAGCAAACAGAGAGCCTGAGTCCTTCAGTTCTCCCCATCACAATTGCTGTTTGTTCCCCCCCACACACACACTCCAATGTACTTGAGGAACATCCCTAGGCTCAGACACTTGCTGCCCAAGGGTATAAACTGAGGACTGTGGAACAAGTGCAAACCTGCCTGACCCACAGGCTGCAACACTCCTTAATGTCAGCAGTGGTTTTGAGCATACAAAGAAAGGGAGCCTCTAAAGTGAAAGCATCCCAGGATCAGACAACTGACCCTTGACTGGCTCCACTGTCAGCCCAGTAATGGCACCAATCTGTACACTAGCCACTACAAGAGACTCTGGTTAGTTTTCCTTTCTCTGAATGGGCATGAGGCCTGGTGCCCTGAGCATATAGGAAAATGTTTGGCTACTGAGACACAAACATACACAGTGGTGAGAAGCTAGACCTCAACCCTGCCACTAAAAACCCTGCCTGAACATTAGGAATACTTCAAATGAAGGATTGTAGGTGATTAAAACTTACAACCAAAGACTCAGCCTCAGATACACAAAGCCCAATGCAGAAACACAAGAAACATGAAAAAGAAGGCAATGTGATGCCTCCAAAAGGCAACAATCAATTCTAAAACATTGGGAGAAATCCCAAAGAATGATCAATGAAATCAAAGAAGACACATATAAACATCTGAAACAATTCCAAAAATATATAAATAAAAAGCTGAAGAAATTCAAAGATAATAAGATAAGGAGAAGAATACAGGACATGAAAAATGAAGATGTAGAAATTCTGAAAAAATTGAAATAATAGAAAAGTTCAATAAGTCAAATAAAAACTAAGTTGAAGCCTTCACAAATACACTGGGTGAAGTTTAAGACAATATCAGGGCTTCAAGGAAAGGTAGGAGAACTAGAACATTCATGTAAAGATAAAGAAAAAAATAAGAATCTGTGAGTGGGGAATGAAAAACTTTGGGACATCATTTAAAAAAACAATCCAATCCTAGAATTATCAGTGGGTCATCAAAGAAATAAGGTGGAAATTCAAAAGATTCAGAGAATCAAGTGAAAATTAAAGTACAACTTACCAGAGTGTCTGGGACACTCACTAAAAAATCATAGGTACATCAAAAAAATAACCCAATAATGCTCCAAAGTCGTAGGAAAACAAAAGCCAAACCCTGCATCAGTAGATGGAAAGAGATAATAAAGATCTAGGCAGAGAGTAATGAAGAGGAGACTAAAAGTATAAAAATCAGTGAAACAAAGAGCTGTTCCTTGAAAAGATAAACATGATTGACAAACCAGTTAGCCAAATAACCAAAAGAAAGATGGAAAAGATGCAAATTAATAAAATTAGAGATGAGAAAGGTGATATCACAACAAATACCAATGTAATTCAGAGCATCATTAGGGAATACTTTGAAAACTTATATTCTAACAAACTGGAAAAGCTAAACAAAATGAACAAATTTCTAGATGTATGTGATCTATCAAATTTAAACCAAGAGACTATAAAGCATGTAAGCAGATCTATAATAAACAATGACATTGAAGCAATAACAAAAAGCCCCTCAACAAAGAAAAGCCCAGGACCAGATTCACTGCCCAATGTTACAGACCTTTAAAGAAGATCTACAATCAATGCTCTTCAACCTTTTCCATGAAATAGAAAGGCAAGGAACACTACTAAACTCATTCTATGAAGCCAGGATTACATTCATTCCAAACCTGAACAAGGAGACACACACAAAAAAGAGAATTACATCAATCTCTTTAATGAACATAGATGCAAAAATTCTCAAAAAAATATTAGTAAACGCAGACTCAACAACACATTAAAAAGCTTCATACACCATGATTAAGGGAGTTTCATTCCAGGGATGCAACAATGATTTGACATATGCAAGCCAATAAATATATTGTGGTACATAAACAGAATAAAGGATTAAAACACATGATCATCTCAATAATGCACAAAAACCCTCTGACCAAATTCAACATCCCTTAATGAAAAAAAGCCCTGAAGAAACTAGGAATAGAAGGAACATACCTCAGTATAAATAGCCTATCTGACATAAATCTGTAGCAACAAAATCAGGAACAAGACCAGGGCGTCCACTCCCTCTGCTCTTATTTAATATAGGCAGGACTTTGTATTCCCTCAAGAGGCAATCGAGAACACTGAGGCAGAGTGACGTGGTAATCACTTATGCTTCGAAGCTGATAAAGCTACCAGTTTTATTCATGAAGTGTGGGGATGAGACTTGGGGCAGAGAAAAGGTATTCCTGTTGGGTTTCCCCCCTGGTTTGTCCTTAGAAACATTTATGATAATATAAGTTGAGGTGCTTAATACCAGCCCCCGCCCCCCCAGTACAATGGAAATTCAGTGAGGTCAATGGCTTGCTCACCACAGTACAATTTGTATCTCTTACAGTGCCTGAAACATGGGAGTTGAAAGATGTCCACAAAAAAAATTAACAAAAGAATAAATGAAAGGAGCTGCTGAAACAGATGTAAAGACCCAAAATAGAGACATGGTGATAATGGAAAAGAGGGACTTTGAGCCACTTCAAACTATAGAATTTAACAAGCAATTAAATGGGGCCTGAGAAAAGGGCAAGTGCACAATGAAAGATAATTGGGAGGTGTCAAACCCAGTAAGAACAGGCAACACATTAGGACTCAGTGTACTCTGTGTACAGTGCTGGACAGCATAATTCTTTATATTACTCTCAGGAGAAAGATAAAACTCAAGTCTCCTGACAGTGTATTTTGCAACCCATTTGCCTGACATGCAGATGACAAAGGCACATTTCTTCATGTGACTTGTCTACGGCTTGTTATTACTAACTTTTCCAGTGGCCAAGGCCAGCAGTCAATAGCTCCTCTTCTGAACTCTTTGGGCTACAGCTGCCATACCTCTGCTATGTAGCATGGGATTTTTAGTCCTGGATTATCTGATCCTCTGCTTCAGATGTTAAACCATGCTTGCATGTCTTCCACAAATCACTCTGGCCAAGCTTTCATACATTCCCTAAGTCCATCTCCATTTGGATGTATTCAGGCAAAAAGTGGTCTGCTGTTCAACGCTCACACACAGAAATAGCAACACCATCTCACTATAAAACAAAAATAGGAACACCTCCTCCTCCTTTCTCTCTTCAAGTCACAAATAACTCAATGAGCAAGTGAGTCTGACGGGTTTTTAATTGGATTGTAACTATGAAAAAAGTATTGATGATCACAGACCATCCACCTGCCTCCCCAAATCTACTTCTTGCTTCCTTGCTAGAAGAGTCCCCATTTGTACACTGTCCACTCTTCCCAAACTCTCAGGTCCTGTAGAGAAGGGGCAGCAGCATATCCCAGGAGGGCATGGTCACTTGTCTAGTCATGGGAACATGATCCAATTCTACAAAGTTAAACAAAGAGCAGGAAGATGGAAAGAACTTGGATCCTTCATTAAATACCTGGGAAATAAAAATTTCTTTATTTCTTTAAATAATTATGTTGGGTGTTTCAGTTTTTTCATCTAAAAGGCACCTAACAGACTAACCAATAGAAGGTTAACCCATTTCTAAACATTTTTATTGCAGAGGGAGGATGTTAACTAGGGAAGCACTAAATATATCAACACCTTTCCTTTCAACTTGGTGTTTCTTTTTAAAAGAACAGGCATGAAATATCAAAGACCATCCAAAATTCCTCTGCCCTTAGAAGTTTTCCAGAATGTATCTTGAATCTACTTCTACACTTTACAAGGTTTCAACTTCATTTCCTTCAGGAGTCCTAGTTTTCTTAAATCTAAAATGAATAATTTTCTTCTGTATTGTAATCTGATGAGAATTCACACACACATGCCCATCTTTTATACTACTCAGAGTAATATAATGTTAATAAATATTACTAGTAATTGTAAATGTAAAAGCTAGCTTTGACTTGTTTCTTTTTAAAAGAATTAAGAAGCTTCAATTGGGCCAGGCAAGGTGGCTCAACCTGTAATACTAGCTACTCAGGAGGCAGAGATCAGGATAGTGGTTTGATACCAGCCTGGAAAAAAATTATTAAGACCTGTCTCAACAAACTAGCTGGGCATGGTGGTTCACTTCTGTAATGCTGGCTACTGGGGAAGCATAGGGAGGAGGATCTCAGTCCAAGGCCAGTCCAAGCAAAATTCACGAGACCCTACCTGAAATACCTAAAAACGGAAAACATTGGGGATATGGTTCAAGTGGTAGAGTACTTGCCTAGCAAGTTCAAGGTTCTGAGTTCAAACCCCAGTACCGCAGAAAAAAGAAGACGCTTCAATTAAAGATAAGATAACATAGCTAATGAGCAATGAGTTTCCTTTATTCTAAGAATCTGGGAAGTGAGCACTGCTTTAGTACATCTAATGAGCTATTCACAATAAAGAGCAAACACCAAGACCAGTGCCACATAAGACTCCGTCTCATGTTTAGCTTCCACCCAGCTGTCCCATGCAACATCCCAGATCCATCTGCTGGCAATCTGTGAGAGAAATTTTAAAGGACCAAGTTTAGACTGACCATGATAGGACGTTATTTTAAAATCCACACTAGTTGAGTTTTTAAAATAGTGCTTTGGTACCTCAGAAAGTTGCATTTACAAAGACATAATTTGTCCAATTCTCCTTTTCATGAGAAGACTCAGGAGTGCTGCTGCTGGGTCCCAATTCTTCGCTGGAAGCCAGCAGCCACCTCAGTGTGTCTGGGGACTGTAGTGGGGTCTTGTAACTCTGCTTACAGAACCACTGCACTGTGTTAGAGACCACAGCAAGGAGCCCTGTTTGTCGCCCTTCACAGATACTTGGGACCTTGTGCAGCAGATGTGGCTGATTATACAGACAGGCTGTTATTCCTCTGCTCTACTGCAATGCCACACGTGCTCCATCCATAGCCTCACTCTGTGGTGGAGCTAAAATGGGCTAAAATTCTCCATGGCTAGCTCTGTTTCCTCACCCCTTGAATATGAATTGGCCTTATGGCTTGCTCTGTCCAACAGAATGGGACAAGGTGCAGTTTTCAACAAAGCCATCCTAGGATTTGCAACACCTGTCCACACTTTTGTGGAACACTGTGCTGAGACTTCCACATAAGGAAGTCCACTGGATCCCCAGGAGGAGGATGGCTCACAGGTATTAGAACTCAGTGCCCCAGCCAGTGGCCAGCACCCCAATCAGACATAGGAGGGCCATGTGGCCCTCTAGACCCAGCTGGATCTACAGAAGGCTGAACGCACATCCGTGAGACCAGCAGAAGGGCAAGCAGCTGATCCAGGCTGAGCTCCTGCAGAATGATGAGCAGAGGTGTCTTTTGTTTTAAGCTCGTGAATCCTGGGTGGCTTATTATTAGATCATATTGGCTAATGGATATCCCACTCTGTGCCACGCCATGCTCCACTAGCTGAATGCAGCAACTGCACCTGTTATTAATCAAGCTCACCAAGCTCAGCCCTACCTCAGACCTTCGTAATGTAAGTTTTCCCTGTTTGCAACCTTCTCCCTCTGCCTGTCACAGTTGGTTCCTTCTTACCATCCTGGATGTCAGCTCAGCCACCTTTCCTTCACTGGGGAATTTCAAGCAACCACTCTGACATTCTGTCATAACACCCTACCTTAGATTTCTCCCTAGGGCACTTAATCACCATCTACAATTTTCCTGTTACTTTCCCATAGGAGCCAGGCGTGGGGTGTTGTGGAACTTCCCCAAAGGAGCCAGGGCTGTCTCTGTGGCTGAATCTTGTCACCAGCACCCCACTGCCTCCTCTGCCTCCCATGTCCTCTTCCTGTGTTTCAGTGTTCAAGTCCCTACCCCATGAAGCCTTAGGACTAAAAATACAAGCTTTTCATCACTTTTCTCTCCAGCTCTCACTTATCACCATCAACTCCCTAGATACTTACACAGCCTAGTGGTATCCTCTTTTTATTTATAAATAATGACAATAACCTTTCTTTTTATAATTACCTTAGTTTTAATAACCTTCAGCATTTATTGAATACTTCATGTTGCCATCTATGTTAAGAATTTTAATACAGATAATTTAATCCTCACACATCCAGGAAGTAGGTTTTATCACCCGATCTTGGAGATGAAAACCCCATGCTAAGATCACAGCAAGTGTTGTTCCCCCAACTCCTACCCAACTGTTAGCAATGCTCCTATCGTTTTGTTTCCTTACATTCTAGGCTGGCTGCTTTATTTCCTTGACTAGAATAAGAACTCCTTGAGACTCATGCCTCGTGTCTTATAATTCTTTACATTTTCCTCAGTACCTAACATACATTAGTGCCCCTAGTAAATTTACTGGTTAATTAACTTAAATGACAATGAATTGTCAATTCTGGTAGGTTTTATAAGAAACAGGATAACTATGCAATTTAGTAAGTTATTAATACCAAAACGCTACTTCTAGGCTAGTACTTTTCAACTAATTTTTAATAAAATACACATATTAAAAATGACTAGCACTTAAGAGGAACCTCAGGCCATTGCATGCTCCCAATCACTCAGGAGGAGGCTCTAACCAGTGGTGCCAGGGCAGTGGGTACTTACATTAATTGCTTGACCAGCCTTTTGAACAAATAATACTTTTATAATGAACTTATAACGGTGGTACCCAAATTCTTTGATTGCTGCCAATATTTGGTCTGCCAATTCAAGTGACAAATGAGAGAAGACTTGGTCATCATAATTGACATCTTTAAGACTTTCCTTGAAAAAAATTCAGAAAAATATTTTAATTTTCAAATCAAATGTTTTCAATATAAAAAATCAAATAGAACACATGTCTAAATAATTCATACCATTGTTTTAAAAATACACCTATTCCTGAAAAAAGCATCAGATAAATTTTATGATTACTACTTCATTTTAATAACAATTTTGAGAAAAAAAATTAGTTTTAGAATTGTTCAATTGTCCTCATCCTCTACACATAAGCTGTAAATTTCAGGTTACTAAACTACTCTGCCAAACAATTACCTGGGAGACACAGGGGAATTTTAAAAGAAGCCTTCTGGAAATATATAGGTAAAGAAAAGAAGATTTTCTATGTATACATTTGTCAAAATTCAGGTTTGGGGTTTCCTAAAGCAGGTGCTACTTGGACTGTATGCTGGCTTTATGTTACTGCTGTCTTCCTCAGTCTCCTGAAGTAAAACCTGTTTCTTCTACCCTCTCCCTATGGCCTCTCATTCCATTGGAATGTGCAAAGTAAAATCAAAGACTTACTAAAAAAAAAATCATGCTTCTTAACAAGCTAATGTATCGCTTGGAGAAATGCACTTGGCTCACAGGTGATGATACAGGAATCTTCCTTACAAACTGTGAGCACCCTGGGCCACCTAGCGAGCACTTCACACATGACTAACTGATGCTGCCAGCATACACCCAGCCCAGTGCTCCTCTCTCTCTCTCTCTCTCTCTCTCTCCCGTTCCATTCTATAATCAATCTAGATTTACATCTAGTCTAAGGTATGGCATTTGACCTTGGCATTGACTTCCCAACAGTTGCCAACACTGTGGTTTTGCTTCTGAATCCAGGTCACTCTCAAGGTCATTTTCCCTGAGTATAAAGTCAACCTGAAGCAGGCTAAATTGGAGACATTGAGGCCTGGGGACAAGGAGCCTGGAGCTAAGAATAAATATGGTATTAATAGGTAACTTGAAGTCTCTTACTTCCCATTAGCTGGCCATACTTTTAATGGTTTGTACTAATGATTTTCCCTGAGCTCTGGATAAACACCTCCTGAGTAAATATCTGAAGAAAACATCTAATAAATCTCATCCTTGGACTAAAGGAGACCTTGTTAAAGGAAAATAAACATGGGATTTTCTGCCATAAATAAGTATCTCCTAAAAGAAAGCACCTGGCAGATCTCAACCATGTATCTATCACCTACATCGATTAAGGTGACCTGGTCTCTGGGAGGCCCAAATTTGTCAGTTATACAATTAAAAGAGGGTGGTCATAGAAAATGATTAAAATGCACAGAGCTAAGGACCTCTAGACCCTTCAACTGACTCAAGCCTTATAAACGTGCCTCACCCAGAGAACTCAGCACCCTTCTCATGTGACCATATCTCCAGCTACTGACATGGGCTTTGTTTCCTGCTTTTCTAAATAAAACTTCTATAAACTTCTCACCTAACTAGGCTTATCCTTAAATTATTTTCTGTCACAGTGTCATAAACTTGGCCAGCACTGACTGATGCCATGAACCCAGTACCCCATGTCACAAGCTCGGCACCCCAAGTTAAAGTTCACAATTTTTGTGGGGCCTACCTGGGTGAACCCGTCATGGTTCTGGTGACAAACCCACTGATTGTCTGTCTACTAACCTCCCATAGCACACGTGTTGACTGAAACCTTGACTTCAGGGCCCTGGGGTGGTTTCCCTAAACAAAGTTCTAATTAGTGGCAGACTTGGGTTATCTACACCCAGTGAAAGTTATGCTTGACAACTTTGTTCCCTAGTGTTTTTAGACAGGAAAATTGAGCATCTTTATCTTTGGTTGGATATTATCTTCTGATGACTTTAAGCACACAATTGACAGTTAAGCCCTAAGTACATAATTTTTTTACGTTCCGAGGCCTGACTAGAAAATAAATTCTTTAAGCCCAGGGAATTATCCTAGCTACTTCCAGATTTTCTGAAATTCCTCTCCTCAAAACCCCCCACACACTGTCCCTTTCCCTGTTTACCTCAAAACCTTTCCAGCCCTCTTGCCCTGGAGTCTTACTTTCTTTGGTTTTCCAGAGAACCCCATGTAAGGCCTTGATGGCTTTTCATATAAAATGAATAGGTAATAAACTGGCTACATTCTCCAAGCCTGCAGGATCACCTTCCTCTCCTCTCCTCCTTTTTGTAACTACTTACCCCCCCCCTCCACTCACCAGGGTCTTCTGGTTTGTCTAACAGATCCCACACCTTATCTACCAAAGTTCTCCTTTTAATAAACAATAAGGCCTGATACATAGGGAGATACTGACAACTTCCACTGACATATAGCATTTCTATGTCTGAAACTATTCAGTGTTCTCAGGACACAGTGGAAAATCCCTGGCCCTTGTATGATCCTTAGTCATCCACCCACATGTCCAATAAGCTGTTCTAGGCCTCATCATCCTCAGCACAATTCTTTAAATTATAGTTTGAAATCTGATACACACACACACACACACACATATATTTGAGTTGCTGGAGATACACACACACACACACACACACACACACAATTTGAGTTGCTGGAGATTGAACACAGGGTCTTATGCAGTTTACTACTGAGCTACACCCCCAGTCCATATATTTAATCAATTTGAATTCAGCCTGTGTGCTAGTGTCAAGTGATAGAGATGTCCACAAATGTGCATGTTTACATCACAAATGCTTGCTGAGTGTTTATCAGAGAAGAAGGTAATTAATAATTATTATATTAAATTGAGTTTATTTCTTTATTCCTTGAAGCCACGAGCCATGATATGTTTGC